CAAAGGACATCACTTTAGTAGCAACACCAATTGGAGTTGACATGCGGCACTTACTGGTCCAGGGTGATTGTACAGCAATGGTAAAGTACGAGAGAATGTTTTATTTGTTTTGATAGCTTGCCTTAATGTTACCATACATGCAAGGATGTAGGGTCTTAAAAATGCAAAAGAAAATAGACTATTTATTGAATTAATGAAAATTAATCTTGCTCTATTTGAAAAGATAATTTAACTGCCTACATCCTTCTTGTGTATGGGATATTTTCATGATTTTTAGATCAAAATAGTTATCAAACGCGAAAGATTTCATAGAGAAAGACACCATTGTCTGCCTGTACTACAATGTGTGTTCATTCTTTGAAGCAAATTGCTTGAGAAAAAGAAAGTAAATGATTTTTAGATCAAAATAGTTATCAAACATGAAAGATTTCATAGAGAAAGACACCATTGTCTGCCTATACTACAATGTGTGTTCATTCTTTGAAGCAAATTGCTTGAGAAAAAGAAAGTAAATGAATTATTACTGATAACAAAGTGCAAAGGGCTTGTGTCAAGTCTTGTGTCAAGTGAAAACTGTTTGTAACAATAACAACAACATTTTATAATGCAACCAATGTGAGATGTACTGATGTTGTCCTCAAAAAGGTCTGAAAGTAATAACATTAAGGCAAGCTTGTTTATTATGGATACTGTTTATTCAGTTTATTTTTCTAATAATGTGGGTGAAGAATTATTATTTTCAGGTTTGAAATCTAGTGAAAATCAGCCAATTCTGAACGGACTGAGGAGAAATCTGAATCAAATCTTGACCAAAATGCCCCCAAACCTCCTTACCACGTGTTAGCATACCAAATATAGAATCCTGTGGATCTAAACGGGGGTCTTTAGATATCTCTTATTGAATATAATGTGAAGAGTTAAATAACACAAACTTAAGACAAAGTACTTCTGAAGAGTATTTGAATGTTCAAAGAATATTGCAAAAAGAATGAAAGAATTCCATTTTCTTGACTACAATCACATTAAATGCAAGTCATGGATGGTGTTAATGCAGAAGCAACACTTTATGACACGAAGTTTCAATTCACTTCGAAGTATAAAAAAATAAAAGAACAAGTACAAGAAATGGCACTTAATGAAAACTAGAAYGAGAGCACGTAATATCCACAGGATTCTATGGTATGCTACACATGGTTTATATCCCACTGATAATAAAACAACAAAACAACAACATGCACACACAAAAACAAACATTGTCTTTGAAGAGTTATTTGTTTGAAGGAAAACCCAGTTACAACTGACTTGCAATCAAGGCCATGTTTGATATCTTTGGAAATTTGCGAGGTACTGGTAAGCTTGTGGCATTGTAAGACTCAATTTTAAATTCATGGAGATTGATTGTACAGCCATTAATTTGTTGTGGATTGATTGGAAAGAAGATATTAGTTTAATCAACTCCAACTATCAGCAATATTCACAAGTCATATGGATTTGACTGATTGCTACACACAATGAAGCATAGAAAGATGCTAATGTGGAAACAAGAAAAAAAGTACTTGAAGCTGATTGAACACAAGCTGTATGCTAAAAAAACAAACTGCTTTGATAATTCAATGCTATTCAATGCTTTCATTTCTATATCAATGCTAAAATAACACACTTTGATTGCTCAAGTCAGTTGTAACTGGGTCAATAAATGTATTATTGTTGGGATGCGGGAGGGTATTGTTCACCATACTGAGAAAGATGGAGACCTGCACAGTTGAAACTCTGCTTTACAGCGATGAGACTCTGATCAAGATTACAACAGACTCCGCTTTACAGTTATGGTCATCATGATTCTGAAGAACACAACTTGAAGACTTAAACTGCAATTACAGAAAGTGTTTAAGTCATGGTTAAACAAATCAT